ATTCAGACTACTTAATTTTCATATTAAGAGACTAGTATTCGCTCCTCGTGACCTATTTTCATATTACCCAAAGTCCAAACCAAAAGTGCCAATAGGATAAATCAAACACTAAAAATTTTCTTAGGCTTTAGTAGGGCTGGCGAGTACTTTTTATTCATGTGAGACTGAAAAGTAATTTGAGCCAAGGGCATAATACTTACGTCATTAATTTATTTATTTAAAGGAGTGGGAAATAAAATTTTTAAATTTTTACACTTCATACTTTTACTATTAGAATAAGATAATAGTTTAGTTACTTATTCATGTTATTACCTAGTACCTACTTATTTCTTTAAAATAAAAATTATCTTTGAGATTGTAAATATAAAATTTTTTTTACTTAATATAAAAAAACACAAAAAGGAATACTGCGAGAGTGGGTGCAAAACCACTGGTTCATGGTGCACCTGATGGTATGAACTGACGGTGGCGGTGGCTTTTATTGAAGATTGAATAGTTTTACTAAAATACCCTCGTAGGTATATTAGTAATATAAGATTTTGGGAAGAAACTAAGTGCTTAAAAGAGCCAAACAAATAGCTAAAAAGGGATTTTCTTTTACGAAAGAAGAATCCAATCTGTGTATTGTGTAATTACAAATATTGATAATAATACAACTACGTAGTCAGCTTCAAGCATCACTTTTAAGATGTGTGTAGTGTTATAGGCGGTTGGACAAAGTATCTCTTTCTTCAATTTTCATTAACCCTAAATTGGTAAAAATTAAGTTGACTCTTATTATCAAAATGGGAATAATTTGTTGGGAGTGAGTTAATTTGTGTAACCCCCACTCAGATTTAATCATATTGAGTAACATATCATTCACTATACCTCTCTATATTACTTGTTCTTTCCACATCATCATCAATATTTTTCTAAGTTAGCATGATTTCCAAGAATTTTATAATATATGCACTAAACCATGTTAGAGTATCATATATAACAAAGTAAAAGAAAATTTAGGATTGGGAGCATATACGATGATCGATAAAAAGTTAAAGAACATATTATATACACAAACACAAAATAATGACTCAAGAATTGTAACTATATTATAAAATATTATAAAAGAATATAATAATATATATTTGAGAAAATAAATTGGTAAAGCATATGGAAAATTTTGTATCCAAATCCATTTAATTTGAAAGCAACAAGTATTAGAGAAACATAAAATTAAATAAAGAACAGAATTCCTAAAAAAATTTTGGTATTTTGACTTATATGATAACTTACAAAATATGATATCATTTTATAAACTCAGAGAAGTATTAAGATAATCCATAACCATTACGTATCTATAATATATTTATAAGAAATAGAGGATTATTGCAGTTTCAAGAGGGACGCATATAGCAATGCGCTAAATTTACGAATGATTGTTACACGCCCACAACGCACATATAAGACTATTTTGAGATCAATGACCATCGCTCCTCGATGCAGCCTTTGCATGTAGATACATTTTTATTTATTACCCTTGCAGTTGGGGCCAAACCAGCTTGATGAGTTTGAGTGATGCAGTAGAAGAGTCCAAACGCAAAAGTGCCAATTATTGGGAGATAGTTGAAGAGGGGAGCTCAAAAACACCAGGCCCTCCAAAGAGTAATTATAATCCTGTGAAGTTCCAACTTGTAGAGGGCAATGTTATGTTAAAAGAGGAATAAGAAAGGGAAGGCGTGAAGTATAACGATTAAGCGTGATATGTGTGGATTAGGTTCTCCACATCCGTTGGAGGAACCACTTGAGGAAATGCCTAATTTGGTATAGAGTCTACAATAGGAGGGCCTAGTTAGGTTATCTCTTGTTCACGTGAATCTTGGACATATTCAGATATACTATAATACTCTTTATTTGGAAAGGACAGAGCGAGAGTTTATTGAATAAAATTTTAAATTTTTTAACACTTCAATGATGTTAGCTTTTACTATTAACGCGTTCAAATAACAGATCATAAATAGTCCTTAAGATTACTTTCTAAGGCCCTGCTAATTTATAATGTTATTACTGTTCTAAAGTAACTCTCCAGGTCATGCTTTTAATCACTGTCGAGTGGTTAATTATAATTTTCTTTTCTAAAAAAGTGAGGCAATTGTATCGTTCCTGATGCTATTAGTAACATATATTTTTTTTTTTTTAATTATATATTTTTTTTTGGATTTTTTTAACGATAAATAATAGAAAGCCAATGACTAAAAACACAAAAAGGAAATAAACTCTGCGAGAGTGGCTGTTGGCGAGAATATGGCACACTGGGTTATAGCGATCCCATTTGAAAAATTTTGTGATTTTGTCTAAAACTAGAATAGAGTAAATTTGTGGGAGATTGCTTAACATCTTGATCTAGAGACCTGAAGGTGGGCTTAGTTTTTTATTGAAGTAAATATTGTGTGAATCCACCCAGGTTAATTGTTTTATCTAAACATTAAAAAAATTTTGATATGAATATGACGATCTAATGTTGATGTGTTTTTATAATATTAATTAAGTATATATATATTAAATTTTTAGATCATTCTTGCGCGTAGAAAGCTAAAAATTAGTTTTATTTTTGAATAATAATATAATTGATGCGCATAAACAAAATATTACAAATATCGCGATCCTATTATAATAAATGTGTCGATAATTAGTACTTTTTGTATATTTACTCGATTTTTGTATTATGTCCCGTAAAAATATCCCATTATTTTAGATATCTTAGGATGTATTGTGTAACATTATAATAGAAAAATAATATAGAAAACAATTAATAATAATTTGGATTTAGATTTAGATTCATGGGGAGTTAATTATGTTTCTTCTCTATTTCTATATCGTACGCCTTTCCAAGGCTTCAAGTCTTTATTGAATTATCTTGTGTGATCTAATGAATGTAGTTTTGTTTTAAGTGGTCGTGTTGAGTAGGACGGATTTTGGGAAAAAAGTAAATCATCTTATATAGCGCTTACCCAATTTTTACAAAATTAAAGTCCTGAAGCAGTCTGAGTGTAAAAATGTATGTGTGATTGGTCATATACTGTTCAATCATAAAATGCGCGTATATTATTTTGTGTGTGTGTTGACGTTTTGGCTTATGTTTGCAAATATTTTTTAATTTCCGATGTATTTATAGCAACAAAATCCCCACGAGACATGATATTTAACTCAATATTGAGTTAATAATCACAAGATCATCAGTTTATATTGCGTTTCAATTACCACTTAATACCTCTCTTCTTATACTTTCTAAAATGTAAAACTTGTGTATGCAATTTTTCCCACAATAATTCATTAGTAATACTCTCATTTTTCATAAGTTTAAAATTTCTAACTATATATAAAGGCTATCGTATTATATCACATAGATTATATTCATGTTATATTAATAATTTAATATTAATATTATAGTTTATATTATTTAATTATTATAAATATTAATGGTTTGCTTCGCTTACTCGAAAACCATGAGCATCGAGAGAAATCTATGCCTCGTTTGTTGATTTTATGAATATAACCAAAACTAAAACACCCTTTTTTTCTATATATATATATATAAACACAATGAATAAAATTAATTAAAGATATGTTATATTATTGGAGAATTCAGGCTTAAGTATTAATTGATATCATTATATAAAAAATTTTTGTTTTTGAAAGTTCTGATTTTAGACAAATATATTAGCTCCATATATTTTATTAACCACTATATTCAATTTAAAGAGTAATAAATACTTTAGTTCAAAGCATTAATTGTGAGATATTGATGCTTTATCACATAGTATATAAGAAATTTTTGTTCAAGTCATAAAGTTATATTATTAAGTCAAATTTTTTCATGGCATATATCAAACATTTGGGATGTGGGAAACCCGTCAGTAATAGGGGATTTTTGCTCTTTGTTATGTGATTTTTTATTATGTGTTTTCTAATTTTCTTATTGAATGTGAAATAGTTATCAAATTCTACTTATACCCACCACCATTCTTAGCATCAAGACAATTCAATTCTCAGAACCCATCTCGGAAATATATTATAAGGAAGACATTTTGCTATTAGAAAATTGCAGTACTTATTTCAAATAATCAACTCTTTCTGTATTTTACAATGTGAATACGTAAGATCATTGCCTTGTAAGAGTATCTAAAAATAAATATAATAAGTATATAAATCTTCCGCAAATTGTATATATTTAAAAAAATAATATAAAGGATATAATAGAAGGAGAGGAGAGAGAGATTAAATACGGGTCTTTTTTTGTGTGTGATGGATTGTTGTACTTGTTAATATTTTCTCTCCGTCGGAAGGCTGCCTCTTAATATTAATTCCGTCAACTCGTTGTCCTTAGGCTCTGAGAGAGATTGAGACTGCTGGACCCTGGTTGCATAGAGTTAATTCCTATTTGGCTTTTCTTGTTTCTCTAGACAACTTCTTTGATACTTCATCTCACTATATATAGTGTATGAACATGAGATGAGAGAAATCTATTCGTTTTGAAATATAAAAATTTCTTTATATAATAAAATAATAATTAATTATATATGGATTTAATTTTAATATTATAAAAATTTTGTTCTGAATTTAAATATATCTTACCATTAATTAAGTAATTCTTCACATTAATTTGAGATTTGGCTAACTTGAATTTCAAGCATAAGTTATTATTATCATTCATCAATCAACATTGGGTTGGGACCGTTGGGTTTTCTTTTCTTTTTTTTTTTTTTTTATGAATTATCAATTATACCCCACCATTCTTGCATAAGACATTAATTCTCAGACCTCCGATAAGACACATGCAACTCAGACTATTAATTCATTTCTGATTTTCTGAACCATTGCCAACTAAATAAATAAATAATTTAATCTAATTTTAAAAAATAAAAAAGAGAAAGAAGGAGAGAGAGAGAGATTAAGAGGTTATTGACGGTGACTTTTCTCTCTCGAAGGCTGCCTCTTATATTAATTCAACTGCCTTTCTGAGCTGCTACTTCATTTTCTTGGCTTTCTTTTCAACACATCTCTCTCTCTCTCTCTCTCTCTCTCTCTCTGCTTACATCTTTTCTGCCAAAGCAACTCCCTACAAATCCGTTGGCGAGAAACCCTTTGCTTATTTGCTGACACTTTTACCTTCATTTACTCACTCTTTTCTCTTTTGGGAAAGTAGTATCCTTTTCTTTTCTCTTCTCTTCCATATTGCTTGCTCCAAATGGGGAGGCACTCTTGCTGCTACAAGCAGAAGCTACGGAAAGGTCTCTGGTCGCCTGAGGAAGACGAGAAACTTTTAAGGCATATTACTAAGTATGGCCATGGCTGTTGGAGCTCTGTCCCCAAGCAAGCCGGTAAGTTTTATCTATCTACTATATTGTTTTTCGATCTCTGCTCTGTTTTTTAATTTTAAATGAAGGCTCCAATTCATGAAATTTCCAGGTTTGCAAAGATGTGGAAAGAGCTGTAGATTAAGGTGGATTAATTACTTGAGACCTGATTTAAAGAGAGGCACATTTTCACAACAAGAAGAGAATCTTATAATTGAACTTCATGCAGTTCTGGGTAACAGGTAAATCAAATAGTTTTGATTTTTATAAATCAAATTTATTAAATAAAGAACATATATTAAGTATTCTGATAATCTGTTTCTCAGGTGGTCACAAATTGCAGCACAATTACCAGGAAGAACCGACAATGAAATAAAAAATCTATGGAATTCTTGTTTAAAGAAGAAACTTAGACAAAGAGGCATTGACCCTGTTACACATAAACCACTTTCAGAAATTGAAAATAATGGACAAGACAAAAATCCTTCGCCTACTAAGAAAACCCAAGATAAGCCTTCCAGTGAACTCAACCTCCTTGAAGCTAGAAACTCGAAGCCAGGACTGCCAAATTTTCAAGAAAAGAAACAATTGGAAAGAGAAGAAGGTTCCGCTTCTGCTTCTAATTCCAAGACTATTAGTAGCAGCAGCAACAACAACAATTTGGTGACGCCTATAAGCAACAAGGACTTTTTTATGGATTTTCCTCTTCAGCAATTGAATTATGCATCCAATGCTAGACTTTCAACTAACTCAATCCCCTCTGTTTGGTTTACTCAAACCAGCAGTAAAACTTTTGATATGAGTTCGGAATTTTCTTCAACCTCAATACCCACAATTCTTTCACCATCAAACACAACAAGTTCATTTCTTTCTACATCTATGGGTTTCAAGCCCAATTCTGTGACTGAAGATCCTTCATTAGCTTCTTTTCCAATTACTAGTAGTAATCTACGGTTCTGGGAAACGGGTGCTCCTAGCAATACTAGCAGTGGAAGTAGTGGAAACGCAGAGCTGCAAAGTAACAACTCTTTCTTTGAAAGCACGCTTTTTTCTTGGGGATTAGGGGATTGTAGCACAACAGATAAAGGTCAAACTCAGCTGATAACAACTCAACAAGAAGATGTTAAGTGGCCGGAATATCTTCACAGTCCATTGTTAATGGCTGCAGCTTTACAAAATCAAAATTCACAATCTTTATACAATGAAATAAAATCAGAAGCACATTTCTTAGAGGAAAATTCCAACGGTATGTGGCCTCCTCCTCATCATAATCAGCAGTTGCAGCAACAACAACAACATCAACTAGCTTTTCAAAATTCTGATATGTGTACGAATAAGGATATCCAAAGACTTACAGCTGCATATGGACATATCTAGCATTTTCATTCGGCACTGGGACTCTTCTTTTGTTTATTTACAGGTGTGTACGTGCTACAGATTTTTCTCTTGTAAATAGGTCTTATACCAAGAAAAAGAAAAAAAATCTCACTCTTTGGGTTTTTGAATATTTGTGAGCCAAAAAAAAATTACTCTGTTGGTTGTGGAGGGTAGAATTGCAGAATAAGGATTATACCAGTGTAGTTCTCCTCTTTACCTCAATTGCATATGCATTATAGTGTTGCAGTAATTCTCTCTGTAAAAAATCCCAGAAAGCAAAAATGTCATTGATTCTTGGGATTTTTTCCTTTCTTTCTTTCTTTCTTTCTTTCTTTAAAGTCGTTATAACTTTTATTGGTATAGTATATGTATAGAGAGCTATAAGTCTATATATATCAGAACCATTTCTGAAAAAACTGATAATTTAATTTTTAATTTATCCGAATATTCTCTCTTTTTTAGTACTTACAATACTGAGAAATACAGGAACCCAATGCTTTATTTTCCAGTTGAAGATTGGGAGATATGGTTGGCCATCGTTGTCCAATCACTTTATTGCTATCGATGATTTTGATGAGGATATTGAGTTATAAATTGTAGTTGGCTGCTTTTTTTTTCATCTGAACTAACATAGCACATTTAAAAAAATCTTATTGTTTTCTTGAATTACAACTTATTGCAAGAGTCAAGGAGCTCTCCCCACTCTAGCACGTAAGTACTGCACGTGTGAAAATAGGAAATGCAAGAAGAAGAGTTGCCAGTTCATAATCATGCAAGAAAAGGAAACCCCACAAAGTGAAGTGAGAGTTATTCGCTTTCTGGTCCGTACAAAGGGACAGTGACCCTCAATCTTATGAGAGCCATATGTATGTTGATGTCTTTTAGCTACTTAAAGAGATTAAACGTTATCTTAAGTAACACTTTATAAAGTAAGAAACTTCCAATTCAAGAGAAAGATTAGTCAATTGTGTGGTGAACGAAGAAATTGCAAATATCGTAATCAAATCATTGCCATCCACTTGTCACCGTCTTGTAGGGTTACTCTTTTCTGATATTCCCGAAGAATAACTGGCATTGGGCTTGCAGTTGAGGCTTCACAGATGCTTGGTTGTTGTTGGTAGTTAACAACAGAATCTCCATAGTCAAAATGATTTCCACTTATTTGGAAGTCATAAGATAATTAACGGTAACTTGGAACCAAAGCGAGGAAATTAAGGGAAAGGAAACTTCCTTCAAAGCCAAAAGAAACACATTTTCACACTAGAACAACGAATTTCAAACGCTTTAAAGAAGCATTTCTATTCTTAGTAGTTATTAAATGAGTGTTGATTTTTTTGCCTCGAATTAGTTCGAACATCATGAGATTCTAACTCATAAATTTTCTATTTTTGTAACACCTGTTCTCTCCAATAAACTTTTAGATTTCAAAGAGGCTTTTCTATTAGCTTTTGATACGAAAATTGTTTGAAATTGATAAAAGTAAAAAGCTAATTTAACTTAGATATTTGAATTCATAATTTCGGATTGGACTCCCTCCCTTGCATAAGAAAAACCTCAATTTTTTTTTTGTTAAAAAAAAAAAAAGCAACCGCAATAAGATCATTTTATTCGAATGGATTTCCATGTTTGAAAAGCTCCAACAAGATCAAAAGATTAGATTTACTTATTTGCGCGTAACATTTTAATCATTATGTTCTTCTCTTAGGTCTTGAGGCCATTATATATGTACGTATCACATCACATTATTGAGCCAAAATTAAAAAAAAAAAAAAATAAATAAATAAAAAAAATCTAGGAAGGAAATCTTTTGCTATGCTCCCTTATGATATGATATGAGCATAATTTGCATAACTCACACCCAAATTAATACGTGTTTTACCATCGTCTTTCTGAACCATTAGACCTATATACACAAAGAAAAGCCTATTTCAGATTCCTTATGGGCTTTCAAACCCAAATATCGCTTCTATAGGCCCATTTGGCCTTCCCCAAGAAACAGGGCTAAAGCTTTCTCTTTGCCCAAAAATTTTGGTAGGTTTCTGAATGTTGGGCCGCCAAGCTTTTCTTCTCCCTCTCTCTTTTTTGTGCTAGGCCTGCAAGTTAAAAATATCCCTCTTTTTATTAAAATCCACAGTTCACCTGTTTATAAGAAGGGTGACAAGCTTTCTAATTTTTTAAAAAAAGAAAATTACATTGCGGGTACACTGAATCTTTCTAATTTGTTAGCTGTTTGATAAAATTTTAATAATATTTGATGTTAAATGTAAAATAACTATTAAGAATTTATTTTTTTATATATTTTCATACCTCATATATTTTTTTAATAAAAATTTAATTAAATTTGTATGATAATCTTATAGTTATTTATTATCTTAAATAATTCTAAATAATATGATTATACAAAAACACTATTAAATTAGTAGTGATTATATATATAAGATTGATATAATTTAAATAAGTACCCCTTTATCTAATCAACTATCCCTCTGAAGCACACGTGGAAGAATCAGAAAACTGCGAGTCTTATTAATCTTTTTTTTTTTTTTTTTTTTTTTTTGTAGTGATTATACTATATAAGATTGACTATAATTTAAATAGTAACCCCTTTATCTAATCAAGCTTCCCTCTGAAGTCTGAAGCACACGTGGAAGAATCAGAAAACTGCGAGTCTTAATTAATCTTTTTTTTTTTTTTTTTTTTTTTTTTTTGCTTAGATTATTTTAATTTTTTTTTTTTTTTTTTTTTTTGCTTAGATTATTTTAATCCTGTTCTTACGAGTGAAGGAATCGATTTTAATTGGTGATTATAAAACAAATAAAAAGTTAATAAACCCAAAGGCCAAGACTTGGTCTGTCACACGGACTTTTACTTCCCAATAGGGAGACACGACACGAGGCCCATTTACAGTAACAAGCGACAAATTCATGATCTCACCAAATCCAAACCAACTCTACCATTACCAATTAATTACTTTTCACCGTCCTACTTTTCTCTAACTTCCTTTCTCTTTCGTTATTTTATTTTGACCAAGAAAAACCTCGGTCAAATTTTGTACTACTACTATTTTATATTAAATATCTACGGGCCCACGCTATCTTATATTAAAATCTTAATTATAAAGAGAGAAACTTCCCTTGTTATTTATTTATTTTCATGTTTTTCTTTTTACACTGCTAATTTTACTTTTTACAATATTTTTTTATTTTTTTATACATTATCTTTTACTTTTCACGTAAATAAGAAAAATCAAATCACAGTTAATTGAATTTTTACAGCTATATTGATTATAGCTTGCGCTTTATTAAGCGATTTGGATTCATTATATATTTTTAATTTTATTAAAAAACAATATTTTACTATCACAACAGTAGTTAAATATAAATGGGAACAGAAAGTTGTTTGACGAGTGTAAAATAACTATATCTAGAAGGTAAGTTCGCCGCTGGTTTTCTGTGTAACAGAAAAATCTCTCTCTCAAGCAACTGGCCCCAAAAGGTTTGGAGCCTACCGCCTATCGCTTTCTAACGAAACAGTAAAATGCTCGTGGTGTCGGCAGGCAGGCGATGTAAAATGCAGAACAGTGACACCATCCGCTAGAAATCTGCCATTCCATTGTTTGAAACCCGGGGCTACCTCTATTTTATAATATCCATAATTTTATTAATAATTCAACCCTCGTGTAAGTTGTTACTTGGTTGCAATAATTTCAGAAGATCTTTTATGAAATGGGCCTCAATGCTTTCTGTTCTTCTTTTTTGAATGCCTCTGTATTTTTCCTTTCTTAATTTAAAAAGGGATAATTAAGATTATGATAATTCAATTTTAGTTAAATTGTGAATCAGACTAATCAATGAGAATTTTTTTATAATGTTTATGAAATTCAAATATACAAATATTCAAATGCATTCAACTTTTTTTTTTGGCCCCAAAGGAAAAAGCATCCAACTGTTAGATTTGAAATGCTCTTTGTTTCTTGCTTGGCCTACCTACTTAAGAGATAAACCATCTTTAGAGTTTAGACTAAATCTTCTAGCGTGTCTAAATTAGTACTTTTTGGGTTGACACGTTTAGTGATAATAATTCTTTTTTTTTTTTTTTTTTTTTTTTTGACGTTTAAGTGATAATAATTCTTTTTTTTTTTTTTTTTTTTTTTTTTTTTGTGTGTGTGTGTTTTGTTAACTAAATCAATCCTGAAGTTTTGTTCCTTTGGAAAAAGATTTTATCCATTTAATTTCTCTTTTAAATTAAAGATAATATTTTAGATTCAAATTTATTTTTTATTTTCTATTAGTGAAATATTTATTCCATTTTCTCTTTAAAAAATTGGAAATATTACACTACGGAAACATTTTTGAAATATTATATTAAATAAAGGAGATCAACTAATCCTATATAGAGTTGCTTTAAATTGCATTATTTAAAATGCAACTTCAATCAAATTTTAAGATAAATATCAATAAAAAAAAAAAAATCCATTTTGAATAGATTGTAAAAACAAGAAGTGTAACGAGATTGTTAAACGTTACACACCTAACTATTTATAGATAAGACAAATTTCCGTGTGCCTTTGGTCAAAAACAAATGGACTCCTCCTTATATTACCTCATTCTTTCAAGCAGCTTAACAAACTCAAATTAGATGGTGGATTTAAAACTAAATCAATTAGTTTTATATTTACAAATTCAAATAATTTAGGTCAACACGTACTGCCAATTCCCTTATTGATATTAGACCAAATTAAAATCAAATTAATCAAACTCGATTGTAATTAAAAAAAAAAAAAAAAAATTGTTAATTAATTAAAAAAAAAAAAAAAAAGAAGTGTGTTGAAGGATGAATTTCATATTTAATAATAATAATTATTATTATTATTATAATAGAATTCAACTTAGTTATAAAAAGTAAAGTGGCAACAAAATCTCTACAAACAAAACTTGGAATATGCTACACCACAATTTGAAGCTTTGAGTGGCTTCACTTAAAACATGTGATTCAACAATTGACCAACAATGCCTTTAATATAAACATTCTAGTTGGAATTTATGTTTTTATCACCGACCATTTTATTAACGGGACCAAAACATTTTAATAATTCAATCATTTTCTATAAAGAAAAACTAAATTACATACTTTCAATTTGAAATTTTCAATTTTCTTGTAAACTGCAATAATTCCACTTTTAAAATAATAATAATAATAATAATGTTGGAACTGTTGACCTTATTCCCAGTAGAATAATAGTTAATAATTGAAAATAATTAGTAATTTCAGCCACATGTCACAACTACTTTATTTGGAAAACGAAGATAAAAAGGCTTGCTTTGCAGTTTCAGTTTGATCCATCGATGACCGCATTACTGCTATCACCACTCTATCTATAATCAATACATAAATTTATCCTGAAATTTAGTCTATT